GTTGTCCGACATAAACTTACAAAGTATATTGATCGCCCGGAACACAAAGGTACGTACCATTTTAATTGTTATTATTGTATTTATAGAATACTTGAGTTCGATAAAATCTATTTTAGGGTAAACATAAAGTTGAAATAATTTTGGTTAGCAAAATTGACAATTTAACAACTCGTTAAAGAGAAAGCAGTTTCAGATAGAACTTTAGAAAGTTTAATGTTGAATTTTTTACTAAACACAAATATTTTTCGTACGGAAATATAATATCAATTTTATATTATTTAAAAACTGTTTTTTCAATATTTACACAAATGTGTAAATCGACTTGACACTGGAATAATTAATTTCAGTAATTTACTAAGTAATATTATATAATGATTAACATAAAATGTCTAAATAGAGATTATTGATTTTAAAGTTAATGATTTTTATGCCATTATCATTTCATTCTGAACAACTGGTTTGGTTAGTTATCGTACTAGTACAACCTTATTTCTATATAAATGAGTACATTTGTTCTTTTAATTGTCGATCGTACTTATTTATCCTGTTTCAATAATTAGCTCCTTCGGACAAGCATATCACATAAATGGTAACATCCGGTTTTAAGTATAACGTGATGAATATCTACAGTTACAAAACAAATTCAGTGATATTGTTGTTTGGCACAAAAGAAATAAAACAATTATTTAATAGAAAAACTAAACTGAAACGGTTATAACCATTTCGGAAAAGACCATCAGGAAACCAATTCGATCGTAAAAAGGTGTTAAATTTATGGTTTCTCTCTGTTTTTTTATTTTTAATGTCTTGTGAAAATTAGACGTACAATACGATTACGCACATAAATGTAAAATAATCAACTAGTTGTTATTTTTTATTCGTTAAATCTCATGACTTTTTTTGTATAATTGTATTTCCTTATGGTAATGTAAGTAATAAGCTCGTTTTTAAAATAAGTTTAAATATTGAGATTTATCCTGTCACTGATATCACATGTTTAGTAATTTAAGCATACTCTTGCAGCCTGAGAAAAACATGCCTTAGGCCACAGACGAAGGATTTCTCTTTTTACACACAAGGTCAATGTCACTTATATCCTATACGTGTAAACCTTTCACCAATTTTATTACATATATTATTAGAATTATTGTTATTTTCTAGTAAAGAAATTTCTTATTAATTTTTTTGATTACATAAACATTTATGTTACAGTTTTCTAATTATTGGAAAGAAATAAACTTTTAAAATGCGACTTTCGGTCGTATTCGAACTTTTGTTGATCTTTTTGATCATAGCATTTGCGGCTTACGGTAGAGTAGGTGAGTTGTAGCCAAAATTAAAATTTTTCTCTATTGTTTTATTGATAACAATAATCTGTTTATTTTTTTACAGTTCCAGACAATAAAGATGTTTGGAGAACTAGTTTAAACAATGTAAAAGAACATTTAAAAATGATGGGTCAAGCTCGACAAGCGCCAGCCGTTCCAAATCGTTATTGTGCTTGTTCTGATCTTATGTGTAATTGCTGCAGAGATTTTTCGTTACCAGTAGTTCCAATTAAAGGACCAGGTATACAATCGTTTTTTATTGTCATATTAGTTTTTTTATTTGATTCAATAAAAATAAAGTAATTATTTTTAACTAAATTTTTAAACTAGTCATATAATATAAATTAACTTTAATACTGAAAAAAGATAGGTTTTGTTTGATC